AGTGAACAGTTAAGTCTTGGGTTAGGAAACAGGAAGTTTTAGGTAAGGGAAGAGTGATGTTTGGGCCAAGTGAACAGTGAGGTCTTGGGTTAGGAAACAGGAAGTTTTAGGTAAAGGAATAGTGAGATTTGGGCCAAGTAAACAGTTAAGTCTTGGGTTAGGAAACATGAAGTTTTAGGTAAGAGAAAAGTGAGGTTTGGGCCAAGTGAACAGTGAGGATTTGGGTTAGGAAACAGGAAGTTTTAGGTAAGGAAAGAGTCAAGTTTGGGCCAAGTGAACAGTGAGGTCTTGGGTTAGGAAACAGGGAGTTTTAGGTAAAGGAATAGTGAGGTTCGGGCCAAGTAAATGATGACGTCTGAGTTCATGGATCAAACAATCTTGAGTTGGTGAAGACTGAGGTTTGAGTTAAGTGAACAGTGAGAACTGGAAATTAGGAAACAGGCAGTGTTGGGCTTTGGGTCAAGTGAAGAATGAGGTCTGAGGATGGGGAAACAGGCTGGTGAAAATGAAGCTTGGTCTGCAAGAATTTTGGATTTGGGCTAAGGGTATGGATATCTTGAGCTGAGGGAACAGTGAGGTTTATGGATATATAAGGGACCAATCAACATACAGGTTGTAGGGATCTCTAGAACAGTGAGGTTTTCATTCCTTACACTCCTTGGTTGGTATTTCTGGATTTGGAGTCTCGCTATTGACATGACTTTATAATTAGTGCTGTTCATCTATATATTGTTAGGCCCCGTTTTGACACAGTTCGTGTGTGCATCTGGACCTATATCATAGACATACCTGGACCGATTACATTCAAAATTCACTTGTACATCATACATAATATTATACATAAGCACATTGTTTCAGATCTGATCTGACCTAAAAATCATCAAAATCGAGCATTTATTGCATTCCAGAACCCGATCTTGGTTGTTTAGAGATGGATTTTGTTCAAACTTTGTACATATATTGTACATTATGAGTCCTTGATGCACATCATTTTGTTTCTAAGATCTGATTCAAAATTGCTGACTGGCGGCCATTAGTTTTAATGAATACCATATCTCTGACATGCTTTGACTGATTATGTTTATAAATATATATATATTATATATATTATATATTCATTATACATCATAGATATACAGATATGGTAGCCATTTTGCTTTAATTAATCCTGTTCCAGATCAATTACTCTCAATTACTCATTTGATGATCAGATACAAGACAACAGAATGTCAATTGTTTTAATGGTAAAAAATCACTATAATCAAGCATCAGCTTCTTGATCCATATCTCTGACATGTTTATGTTCCAACTTCATGTATATTACCATAAACAATACTATATAATTATCTTAAATTTGGGACTGTGCCATGCATTGCTTGTTGTTATAGCATTATATAAATCATATTATAACAATAACAGCTGCACATGTTATACACTATATATCACAGTAACCCATTTTTTTCAGGGACTTAAAGGTGAAATGGGCGAAAAGGGCATAGTAGGTCCAGAAGGTGAAAAAGTAAGTTATGAAATGAATGTCTCCCTCATAATTACATAATTCTGTAAATCATTTTTAATTTGCAAGAGGCCATTTTTGTTGCATATTAGAGCATTTGCATTACATACACATATTGTTGCAGGGTAAATCAGGAAACTCTGGTCGTCAAGGAAAATTGGGTTTACCAGGTCTTAAAGGAGTTAAGGGACAAGTGGGAACTCGTGGAGTTCCAGGACCTGCTGGACAAACAGTAAGTATTATTCATACGTTATGGACATTTTTTTTGGCATGCAGAGCACAAATTTAGGGGCGATCTCATGTTCAAACACTTGGGTCAAACCTGGGTTAGCCTGACCTGCCCTTTCCAGCTCAATTCTAACCTACTTGACCTGAAATATGCAAATTTGTAGTAGGTCTGAACTTTACTTCCTGGTGAAATGCACATTAACACCCACACTGAAAACTAACAGAGAACAAGGAAAGAAAGACCAGGGAAATGTAGGTTTAGATTAGAGGAACCTAGGTTTTTCTTACAATTCATTTTACAAGGAGGAAGATTCAAAAGAGTTCTCAGTAAGACAAAAAGTGTTATAAAGAATTCCAGCAGTGATTTTTTTTTGCAAGTCATGTAAATGCTAATGAAAAAACAAACTTGCATTAGTTTCATGATTCATTTATAAATAAATCATTTATAGGTGTGATGAAAATTATATTTATTTATTTCTGTGATTGGTAATAATGATCAGTTTTACCAGTTGTGATGCAAGTCAATACAATTGTTACTGTGAATAGTCAATCTATTTGCAATTAATTACAGACAGAGTTGGTTCAATATATTTTATGTCATAATTAAATATGTATCGACTGAAACACTAGACCTTCAATTGTAATATTATTGAATCAATGTTTGAAACAAAACAGGGAAATAAATGCAATAGAATTTTAATGAGCAGCTTCTTAGGATGAAATATTTAATATGTTATATAATATACTTGGCATGGTCAGTAAAATATGTTTATTCATGGAGCTACTTGGTACATTTTGTCTGCAACATGTACAGTCAGTTTTGTGCCTACGTCAGTTCATAAGTCAGAGAACATATTTTTTGGTTAAATTTGTAAAGCCTGTGATGAAAGTAATAAATTGACAATGACAATTGTTTTCTGCGAAGACATCTCAAAATCACAGGACAGTTTCAAAACTAAAGTCAGCGGGCACTCTATGAATAAGGTATTACCAGAGTACAGGGTTAGTTTTTTATAGGCAGTCTAGTTTGAAGTTGAATAAATTTTGCCTTGAATATATGTTTATAGCTGCAGTTCTTTCTTTCTGCGCGAATGTCTTAAATAATAAAAGCTGCAAATAATCAATGTGCAGCAAATCAGAATAAATCTTCATGCTGTATGATTCATTTGTGATTTTTGAGACTTCTTGTCATTACCCTTATAGTAAATGTATTTGTTTTCGGATTTAGAGATGCAGCACTCTGCACTATATCTAAATGAATGTATGTTGGTTTCTACGATTTCATGTTTTTCTATATTTTTTGAAGGGTCTACCAGGCTTCAGTGGATATCCTGGTAATGCTAGTTACACTAATGGTAAACCTGGTCTAGATGGTCCTACTGTAAGTTCATTTTTCAGTCAACAATTTGAGATACTATTTGATAGAGTTATTCATCTTTATACATTTTGGCATCAAGTTGTCATTATTTATTTGAATTGTATAAGTCAAAATGTAATATTTGTATCTAAAATTTGATATTTTGGGTTATCTTTTAAATCCAGGGACCAAAAGGCATCAAGGGAACAGAAGGACCAAATGGTGAAATGGGACTTTTTGTGAGTATATTATGAGTGAACTTTCAATGTCAACAAAAGATTATGAAACAATATGTTTGTAGAAGTATTTTGCAGCGTCACTCTTACCCCGCGCATAACTCTAAAAGCAAAAGAAAACAGCAATCTCTAAGTAATCAATCTCCATTTTTAGTTGAGTGCCATTTACAATGCACAGTTTGCTGACTAGCACATTATCTGAGAAACTCGTATGGGTAAATTGTCAATCATCTACTTTAATTTTATAATAACTTGTTCATTTCATAAACAACTATTTCTTTGCTTCTTCATTATCAGGGTCCTCCCGGCCCTCCTGGGCTTCCTGGAGTGTTTGTATCATATTTCATTACACAGGTAGGTCTAGGTTTGAAGTTTAATTTGATTAAAAAGTGTTTCTAGCTCCACTGTCATCAAAGATAATAGACGAGGCTGTTCTTATTAGTGACTGTCCATCACTGCTATCATACACCTGTGCCCTTATCAGTGATAAGATTTAAAGATACCTGAATAGAATGTAAACAAAGCCAATATTCTGTACAAATGCTGAAATCTGCCATGTTTTCAAGTACACGAGTTGACCTACTATGGTGTCCTTTGACCTAATAGATTATGAGTGCCATTAATACCAGGTAGTACTACTGACATAGTATTGATGATCGAAAAATGCATCCTGCATCTAATGTTTTTAAAGATGCTTTTCAGTGGTGCTAATAACTTGATTAGTATTTTTTGTCTATGCAAATGTCACAAAAGGCTGTAAAATTTATCATTTTTTGGACTCCCACATGTCATGACTATGTCATGTTGTTGCTATTACCAGGTTGGTGACAGCAGACTGGTGTCATGGTCTTTGAAGTATCCGGAGAGTGCTGCATTTCGATCACAAAATGTCATCAAGGTAAAAGAAATAATATTCATCATTTCTTTATTTCTGTAACTGTGAATCATTCTTAAATTTAGGATGAAGTGCATTTCATCAGGCAATGTCCAAAGTACAACTGTTACATCTGCTTCAAATAAATGCCAGAAAACAAGATACCAACACTTGTTTTCATTGAAATATTGACTTTGTGATATCTCATAGCCATTTTGAAGTTGATGATTATCCTAAATAATACTGTATGTTTTATTATTAGAAATGTTTTTGTATTCAGGAACATGAAGTAATATTTCAGCAAATTCATCAACACTGTGTAACTAACCACCATCCTTGTATGGTGGCAAGGGGGTTATAATGTATAGCCCACACCTCTCTATAGTCATTGTTAACTATATATTCCATGCATCTATCATTTTCATATCTTTTTGCATACTATAGTTTGAGGCAGGGGAAGCAGAAGGTTCAGTAAGTATATAACATGCTCCATTTCATTCCATTCCATCACATTCACATCCTGCTTTCCATCAGAGGTGTTGCACACTGCTGATGGTTCACTAGCTGGGCTATAAAATTTCTTCTTTACATGCATTTTGAATTCAAAACATCAATGACAGAGTGGAGCTGATCATATAGGATTCGGATTATTTTGATACTTGAAATGTCATGACATGGGTCAGCTATAACTTTCACATTAACTGAACCATGCCTTGAAATTGTTTCATCTGGGTAATGAAATTTACAAGTTTATACTTAACTTTATAACTGTTCACTTGTTCAAATGTGAAAACTAAATTTATCATAGACATTTAAATACCTTATAAAAATCTCCTCCTTCCTTGCTTGCTCTCCTATAAGTTGTTTGTCTTATTATTTCTATTCTTTCTATTTGTCTGTGCATTGTAAAATGTTGTCACTACAATTTGATCACAGAGAGTGGAATATGGAATGGTAATTATATATTTTATGGTGTGTTGTGTGAAGTGATTGATCATCTGTGTGGCTTTCACATGACAATCTCATCAAAGTCATATGATAGTTAAATCAGCCATGCAGTAGTAACATCACATTCGCACATAATACATAATAGTCACATGATATTTCCATCAGAAGTACACAGTAGTAACATCACAGTCGCACTTAATACATATTTACTTCAGTCTCATGGTATTTACCCAATTATTTATGGTCACATGATATTTGCATCAATGGCACAAAGTAGTTACATCAATTATATTTAATAAATTATGATAGTTTTAGTGTTCTAGTTACATACGACCAGTCATCGGCAAATTTAGTTGCTTTTCACCAGACATTGGCCAATTTAGTTGCTTTTCATCACTAATTGGCCAGTTTACTTACTTTTCCCCAGTCATTGACCAATGTAGCTCTTGACCACCAGTTATTGTCCAATTTTGTTGCCTTTCATCAGTAATTGGCCAATTTAGTGGCTTTTCACCAGTAATTGGCCAATTTACTCACTTTTCTCCAGTCATTGACCAATGTAGCTCTTGACCACCAGTAATTGGGCAATTTAGTTACTTTTCACCAGTCATTGGCAAATTTAGTTGCTTTCCATCACTGATTGGTCAATTTACTT